TTCATTTTATCGTATTCGCCTCTGAGCTCACGACAGAACTGCCTCGTTAGACATTTTCCTGCTAATTAGAATGCGCTCGTCATTATTGAACTTTTTTATTCTCTAAGTCCGCATCTAACCTCGTCTTGTTTTCAGTTTACGTTCCTAGCGGACAAAATTGCTGTCGGAAAATCTCCAGTCTTTAATGCTGGGCTCGAGTGGTAAGTTTTGCAGCAGAAGGTGCGGTCACGAGGTCGTTTGCATCGTTAATGTCTCGCAGGTGTTCAGACTTTCCCAGGAACTGAGAAGCCTTTTGATGAGAAACTTCTACCAAGTTGCAGCAATTAAAATTCACCAATTAGGCACCACTTTAATCTTTACGTGTTTTTAGGTTCATGTTTTCATTGAGCTTAAAAATTCTGCTTCTCTGGCTCAAAATGGCCGAAATAATGAATTTCTGTAAGTTGACACGTTGGATGGTGAAGTTTTCCTTTCTAATTTTGTCCACACTTGTTTTGGATCAAAAACGAAACATTTTAAGGAAACATTGAGGATTGAGACATTTTAAGGATTGAGATTAACAACTGTAAGAATTTAAAGGAATATTTTTTAAACAGTTCCACATAAATATTTTTTTTTGCCAGTATTATCAACTGATACATTTCTTTATGATAAATAATAAAAGTCGCAAGTATACCTTGAATGTATAATATTGTTTTGCTGCAAAAAGAACAATGTATTTATTTTGCTTGTACATTTTATGATTTGTTATTGAAATTTCCCTACGTTGTTATTTTTGCGACTATTTTTATGGCGACTATTTTCAAACTGAGCGAGAAGACGCCCAAAAATATTTTAATGATGCGCGTATTTGCTCGGGTATCTTGAATTTTTGAGCGCATGAATTTGTCAAACGTGCAGCGAAATTTCCACGAGCGTAAGATCATGGTACCAATTTCCCCGGGCAAGATTATCAGATGAGTTTTCTGTCTTGTTCGTAAAGTTCTTTCCGACTTCACTCATATTTTACAAATGTTTGATCTCGTTTAATCCGCTTATAACATTTTTGAAGATCTCTTTAGAGCTCTCCCTGCACGCATCACACACGCATCAACGACATCCAAACCATTTCAGTCGCGCTTCGTTTCCCTGCCTAAGTCTCAAATTTGGTTTTTAAATAACTTTTATATTATTTTCATTCCCGGCGTCGATTTAGATCCTATCCTTACCTCCATATATTCTTTGTCGAAATTAATTTTTCAAAACAGTTCACTTGTGTAATGGAGTATGTATTGTATTCACTTTTTTGGTTTAAATATGAGAGGGTTTGAACTACCTTTTAAAATTTCTTCTTGTTTGAAACAACATCTCTAATAATCCTTGACGCCGTCACTAGAATTGAAATATCCCATCTCATTTGAAATATTTTCAGTGCTTGCAAAATGCTGGCTTATAAGTTCATAGTTTTCCATTCGGTCGTTGGCTGAGATCCATGCATGATCATGGCTGATGTCCCCGAGCAGGTTCAGCGTCGTGGAGGTGCGGAACGGAGGCGTTAACACCAAACTGGCGTCGTCCGCAGGTCCGGCGGGCCAAGTCGCCCCTGCCGACGACCTCGGGCGCGCACGCCCCCTCGCTGAGCTGCCGCCTCAAGCTGAAGTCAGCAGCCTAGCGCTCCTCGAGGTCAGGCGGCGCCCCGCGTCATTCTAGACATCAATCTCAATAAATTGTAATTATGTTCGTACTATTTACGACTGTTGCGGATACTAGCATGGTCGTGGGATAAATTTTGATCAATACAACGAATATCAGGAACTCTATTACTAATGCGGGAGCGAAGTAGTGAGATGATGAAAGTCTCACATGTGCAATAGAACGTGAGAACAGGCTCAACCTCGGCAGAAGGATACGCGAATAATACTATAGAAGTTAAATAAAGTCTAGTATTTATTCAGATAATTCTTATACAATACTATTATTATATTATATTATATTATATTACATTATATTATATTATATTATATTATATTGTTTATCAGATAATAATTTTTTACGGTCATTGTGTTCAGTGCGAATATTTTTAGACAAACGGCGAAGCATTTGGATGCGAAAAGTGAACACAAAACTTTCGAACATAATATTGCCGGTGGAAATTCTTCATGTAAAAAATGTATGGTTTTAATTTTGTTTTTTTTTTATATAGGACTTCGCAGGATTTTAATCTGAAAGTCCACCTTATTATCCAGGACACTAGGACTTCCTAAGTATATTTTGTTTCCTCTTTGTGGAAAAGACTGTGAAATTGGTTATAAGGTTTTTGGTTTCCTTTTTGGTAATGGTATTCAAATTTTTCTTCAATGTAGTTTTCATAACCTCAAATTTTTTTAATTAACGAAAATGTCGCAAAAATAATAAATATTTTCATTTAATACTGCAAAAGTTGAATTGTAAGTTTAATAATTACTTTATTATGCATCATTTATTATATCGAAACAGATAACAAATTGAACATGAACATTTTAACCTCAACTTCGATTTTTTCTGGGTTTGGATTTTTACGGTTAACATTGAACCTGCAGTAATCCATTTTACCCTACTGCGGCTCTATGAGAGGCATTACAGGTTTCTTTCACAAAATTGAACTAATTTTGGTAGAATTGTGAAGCAATAGCATAGGCGAGAATATGTGAGGCAAAAACATTACCTACGCCTAATCGGGCCGCTTAAGCACTTCTGAACTCTCTTATTTATAGTCTAATATTCATCCCAATGCTTATTTTGATTGAGAGGTAGTCCTTAAAGAATAAATAGCAGCGAATAAGGGAGATACAAATATCTCCATAACGTTAAGATGATAAAATGTAACTTTGGTTTAAATGGACAAAAAGGATTTGAAATGTAACCTTTGTGCTGAACTCATGCCTTTCAAAATAAGACTTTGGTGGCCTTGGCGTATGAGGCAAATACATGAGGAATTAGCTCCGACAAGCCAACAGTAGAAGAAAGAAAGAATTCATGGCGATGCGATTAACACAAATTCGACCTTGTTATATTCTTCCTCATTTATTACTCTCAGGCGCAGTGGAGCGCTCCACCAGCACCACTTGTTATACACCAGCCTAGTTCCATTAGCATTAAACGATCGATTAATTCCGCGACCAGGAATCCACCGGACGCAAAAAAACGCCAGAACTGTCCTTTAGCCACCGCACTGTTGTAATTCCACGACAAAACGCTAGGTTCATCAAAATTAAATAGAATTATAGGCATAGAATCCATTTTGTATTAGATGAAACTTATTCACATAATCACACTTATAGACCTATGTAAAGATCAACTTATTAAAGGAACAGCTTAGCATTCATTTTAAAAATACTTTCACGAACTCGAGTCTCAATAAAACTTATTCGGTGCTACTACAGCGTCACGAACTGGGTGTTGAGTGGCAACCGCGCAGCATGTTTGTCAATGCATGTCTGTTGGTTCGTTTAAAGCCTGACAAAACCCCAGGTATTATAGAAGCTGTTCGAGAAGACTATTCATGATATTTATCGTGTGAATACCCTATATTACCTGTGAATATATGATGAATAAGTTCATTTATTCTATGTAAAATTTAATTGAACTGTTGTCTGCAAATAGTGAGCTATTTTTTGTGGCAGACAGAGAAACAAATCAATGGCATTTGAAAGGAAAAATTGATTATTCCATACATTGTTACTTATTTTGTAAAAGTCAAGCCGTTTTACTCAATAGGCGCGGCGCAGTTTTTTAAACTTACTTTGACTACTTCGTCATCTTTTGGACAAAATATATCAAAGCACAGTTTGTTTCACGTATTCTTAAAATAAAACTCATAATAATCTATAAAAATATATTTTGTGACAGGAGGTCTGACAACATGCCGTTTGCGTTTATTATTTAAGTGTCAAAATGAATTTGATCCCTAATTGTTGCTATAGGTTTGTTTTAATTTACTGTAGATATAAATTTCAACCCCACAGCTGCCCCTAGGACGCCAGATGACGTGTCCGTCCCCATCATCGACCATCACGACGTGCGGGTCAACTTGGTCACTACCTGACAGATGCACGCGCAGTCCCGCGGTCCCGCGATGCCCTCAAGTGTCCTCTACCACTGACGTGAGAGCCCTGCAAAACGGGGACTCGACATTGTCCTTGAGATCCAGAGGCAATTCTGACAGCGTCAGCACTCTTGTCCTCAATAATTCAGCTGTCGTTCCGTCATCCATCGACGTTCAAAGTTCATTGGGAGTTACGATCTCAGGCTCGAAAAACAGGCCTGCGGACCGAGGGCTTATAAATGATGAGCGGAGATCAGCTTTTGCTTCAGAAGATGGAGATCTGGGCTTAAGCGTAGTATGCAGAAACGGTGTCGGCGCGAGTAGAGATAATTTGTTTATGAGTTACCCCAGCTACCGGAGTAATTTATTAAACAGCCGGTCTTTGCCGCTGAAACCAGAAAAGAAAGTTCCTCACGCCTTCGTCGACAGATTACCAGCATCTTCTGCTGAGCTCCGCGGCTGTGGCGGTGACGCGATTAACGACACTGCGCCTCTGATGTTAAACCTCGAAGAATCTGATGATTTTCATGGAATTGTGTTTGATGATACTGAAGGCGATCATCTAATTACTAGTGAAGTTGGTTGTGCTCTATCGGATGCTCCTCTTCGGAGTCCTCCGTTATGTTCGCGTCTCTTGGAGCCCAGAAAGTCTTTAAGTTGTAGTGATTTTCGCTTCGGACAATCTTTTATCGACGCTTGGGCTCCTTTGCCGCATTTTCCATCTGTGATCTCGACAACCACATCCCAAAGCGTACGAGTAAGCAGAGTTATGAGTCCCATTAACATAAGTTTATCGTCTAAGGTCATCCGTCAGTCCCAAAGAACAGCAACACCTCACCAATCTACTCAACAGTCCCCAACTGATGTTCTCAGTATCAGAGCTACTAATCGGGATCAGCCCTCTCAACCTTACCCCGAGATAATATTAGTCAACGACGCTGTCATGAACGAAAGTACTTCCAACCAAAGTCACTTAGGGGATGGAATCCACACGATTGGCGTCATTGACGTGGGACAACAGCGAGAGTTTCGAGCGCAGTCTGACTCGCCCCTGCCAAACAATATCAAGAAAACCCGACAATCGAGGATTAAGTTCCAGCTCGCAAAGGAACGTAAAGCCTCAACTACACTAGGTAAACTAATATTATCGTTTAATTATCTCTATTGTGATTGGGATGTCAACATCATACTAATATTTCGACGTTTTTACGGATAAAAATTGAATATGATCGTGGGCAAGAGATTCGCGTTTCCTTAAAGCAAAACTTTGAAGCAATAAACAATACAACTTTGAAGAATAATCATTTATAAAATGTTACTCCATATAAATATTCAATATATTTTTACCCGGGTAAATTAATAACGCAATGAAGGTAGGCTTAATTGTAAACAAAGATGATGCTTTCGAAATCACTTCTATTGGGTAAAATGTTCGAGTATGTGCAAAGTTATCCCAGCAATTTTATTTTACTTGCCGTTCATACGTTCGAAAACAATTAAATAAATAAATGCCTGACTGGCCCTTACGTTAGCGTTATAAGCCTTGAATAAAAGTCTAAAAAGCAGAATGAAATACCTAAGTACCAGAGTTAAATGAACATTGATTAAACAACTGTTTGTGTAAACCAAACACATACAAAACTGAAACTCCTGCTGTTCTTCTGTCACTGTAGGCACCAAAAAACAAGTCACTATCTAGCATAATACTGGCAGAGGGCACTGAGGCAGAGCTGCCCTTGCCGTCAAGGTGGGAGAAAACTTTGCTCAAACTTTGAGTGATTTATTGAGTCCTGTGAATCCTGGAGAATTCTTTTACTCGAGTGTAAGCGGCCTTAGAGACGTTCACCGGCCTGGAGACGAAAGAGAATATCTCCCATGTAAGATGCCATTCAGTACAGATATTTTTGGCTGAAGGCAAAATTTCTCAAATATTTTGTGGGAAAATATTTTCCTACGTTTTTAGTAATGACGAGTGAAGTCAAAGACTAATATGTGAATATTAATGAACGGCAATGTTAATACGGAAATCAGAGTCAAATTATCGTTGTTCTGCGAAGCTCCAAAGCTTTTTCCTGCTGCTCTCTCTAACCTGGGATATGAATCCATTAATCTTTCTTCCTCTGTGGCCAGGAATCATTATGAGTGCGTTCATCATCTGCTGGCTGCCCTTTTTTGTGCTGGCTTTGGTGCGTCCGTTTTTACGAGACCCGAACTCCATCCCAATCTCGGTCTCGTCGCTCTTTTTGTGGCTGGGCTACGCCAACTCAACACTCAACCCCATCATCTACGCCACACTCAACAAGGACTTCAGAAGGCCTTTCCAGGTTTGTGGTCGCTATGCTCTTCCCCTTGAGTACCCAGTAATGGCTATCTCAAATGCTTTCTTCAGGTTTATTCCCACTTACCGCTGAACTCTTCAAACACCTTTAAAAACGCGCTCACTCCGAACAAACCTTGCATCCTTTATTCCAGAACTCGCTTTGGATAGAGCCTAGGCTTTACATTGGCAACTCCGAACAGTTTCTTACTTTTAAAAATCAAAAGCGAGTTTAAACGAGTCAAATGCGATTTTTATGCGCAGTTTTCATACACTTTCCCCGTTGCATCATGAATATTTCGAAGTTTCCGTAAATATTCTATGTCGTTCTAACAGCACCGTCAAATTCTGTATTTTTTTCACCCATAAAAATGCATAGGAACGTTGAAGCTCTTTGTGGCTAGGTGTATATGCATTATTGTTTGATTTTTGTGGAAAATTTCTGCACAGAGAAGTAATAACCCTGTGAAATAGCACTCCTAGAGTAAGCATTCTCTTTAACAATGACTCCGCCTTTTTGCATATTGATGCACCCGCTTTCTCTAACTTGAGTTTCAAGCAATTTTTGCTTAGGATATTTTTCCGAAAGCACCTTAAAAGGCACTCCACAGTTCTAACCTTTTAATGTTTTAAATCTTAAAGTTGGAATTTTCATTTTTACCAAAAATCTCTGCCACAACTTCACAAACGCAACGTTCACCGCTTCATTGTTCCAAAAGTATATTCTCTTCGATATCTTCGCGTTTCATCATACCTTACCCTGCTATCCGGCTACCCTAAATGTTATTTGGCAGGGTTCATGAATGTCTTCATCCCTTGCGATCAGAGGCATCAAGCGTCCGTATGATCCATTTGAAATGCTCGCCGTGTTGCGCTCAAATGGCAAGGAATGGTTTAAACGACCGTCCAAAGCTCTAGCCTTTCTTCATGGTCTCTTAAAATTCGGAGCGACGGCAGCTCCTTGCCATTCGTTTTAAACGCATTCTTGAAAAACAAAAATCGGAGTAGAGAATCATAGGAGGACTTCGTGGAGATGAAAGGCTAAGGATACGCCACGTTTGCTCTGGCATCCCAAACTAATCCTCCATACACTGTACATCGTTAGCAACCATGTCAGCATAGCATTGAAGTACAGACTTACTACCATGGTCCATGTTACATGGGCTCTAGAAGTCTGCATCTCCGACCGACAGTACAGTTTCCTGTCCATTAGTTCTGTTAATCATTACAGTTTAAGCGATCACGATAGCGCGTTGGCGTTCACTGCAGTCGCCAACCAACGTTGGGTAAGCCTAATAATCCTGATCTATATAATGGGATTCTTTAGATAATGCTACGATCGCAGCTTTGGTCAAATGTAATTTCAAGGTAAATTTGCATAATATATGTGCGATAGGTCGACTTAAATTTTTTTATTGCATTCAGGATGTGATTGAATGAATGACTATAACAAAAATTGAACGAGTCTAAAACGTTAGATTATTATGAGCGTCTCTCTCAAAATTATTGGGTTGGTCAGAAGTCAAAACGTGACGAATAGAGAAAACTTCATGCGATATTCGTCTTCAGTGCATCCAATAATTATAATGTAGCTGTGAATAAATTACAGTCCCTCCACTTCCTGCCTTTTACTTGCGCCCGTTGAAAAATAGCCCACAGAGGTCAAACTTCTCAGTATCACCGCAACGGAGCATCAATACACTAAATCCGTTTTCGCCTTATGATTCAAAATGGTCGTGACTTGACACGCAGAAATACCTCATGTCATCTCAATCATTAATTTGCTTTCTTGTTTATAGTACTTTAGCAGAGACGATATTGAGCTCATACCTTATTTTAAATCGGAAGATATCAATGGCCAATCATACACAGAAGAGCTATGCTCGTAAAAGCAGTTTATAAAATAGCCAAATACTTAAATGGAAATAAATATAAACTGCATATCAAGAGCAGCTTAATTATCACGTGTTTCCACGGCCACTAAACGAGAATTCATATTTCGTTTGGCTCATTAGCTGAGCATTTACTATGACATTTAACCCTCGTAACTAGAGCTGCACATGGGAGAAAATTTGTTAAAATTCATTTATTTGTTCATTTTTAAATCATTTTCATGAATCTCATGTGATTAATATGCATGAGCTCAATCGTACATTTACATCATGGTGAATTAAGTTTTGCATTCGTGTTCCGATTCCTTCTTGTTTGTATGCTTGGAAATTATCTGAAGCCTCCTCATCTTTCGGAAACTTGGTTACAATGGAGTTTTGATGCGCTAATGGCCAGGGTGCTTGAATTAAATCATTTACTGCACGTTACAGTGTGAATTAACGCGGACCTGCTATTACACTGAAGAGTATATGCAATGTTTTTAATGAGCCTCTTTAGAGTTAAGTGGGCTAGTTGTAATGAGGCGGCCCTACTTAGCACAAGTAGCATTCATTATTCCGGAACATAAAATTCAGCTGATTCCTCCCCTGTTGACGGTAACGAACTCGACTTGAATAACGGACTGACCGGTGGAACTTGAACCTCCCGTTAAATTTTCCACTCAACTTGCATAGGTTTAATTGGATAAGTTGAGACGAAGACTTCGTAGAGACCCGAGGCGTGGAGAAATCTTGTCATGTCCGGTTAAAGTAGACTCCATTCATTACGTTTGATGAATGTATGGGAAATTTAAGTTTTTGTTATGAATTCAGAATTTTTAACCCGTAGGTAGTTATCTTGGGAATGCTAATTTTGTGAAGCTTAAAGCGCTTCAATGGGAATAGTGATTTAAAATTTCACCAATGTTTCAAAAACATTGCTAAACTTTCAGCAATGTTTTTAATCAAAAATTGAGTCGAGTTGTCAAGTATAATTTTTAAAATACTGAGACCAGTCTCAGGTGACACAGCTGGAAATACTTTCAGACTCACCAATAATTATTTTTTCCTTTGAGCTGATCCTTCAAAATTATTTTACTATTTTTGCATAACCGTCGACAGTGGAATTCATTCCGAAAAGTCTGTCAAATCATGTGATTGCAACTCTTGGATTACAACTGTAAAGTTTGCTACTCAATATTTTTATTCCACATGCAAATTTTTATTTTTATTTATTGTCCTCAAAAACGATTGCGTAATTTTTTTCTTATTTGTGAGATCTCTAATACGAAGAGTTTACCCACAAGAAACCAGTTCCGATAGCGATCTAAGATCAGGTAACATTTAAATCCTAGGATATCTGGTACATTAACTCATATTACTTTTTTATACTTTCTGCAGGAGATCTTGTGTCTGCGGTGCTCGTCGCTGAATAACCTCATGCGCGAGGACTTCTACCACTCGCAGTTCGGCCCCGACACGCCCACGCTATCACACGTACGCGTCAACGCGCCCCACGACAGGGTCGACTCCTGCGAGGACGCTCCTGCCAACGATCAGCTCTCGTAGACGCAGAGCTTCACGAACTATTGTGGTTCAGCTTCTGCCCGTCACATGCAGCTGGCACCAAGCCAACAATCGGCTCTCGTAGACGAGACGCAGAGCTTCACGAACTATTGTGGTTCAGCTTCTGCCCGTCACATGCAGCTGGCACCAAGCCAACGATCGGCTCTCGTAGACGCAGAGCTTCGCGAACTATTGTAGTCCAGCTTCTGCCCGTCCCATGCAGCTGGCACCGAGCCATGTATCAGCTCTCGTAGGCGCCGAGCATCATGAACTATTGTAGTCCAGCTTCTGCCCGTCACATGCAGCTGGCACCAAACCAACGATCGGCTCTCGTAGACGCAGAGCTTCACGAACTATTGTAGTCCAGCTTCTGCCCGTCACATGCAGCTGGCACCAAGCCAACGATCGGCTCTCGTAGGCGCCGAGCATCACGAACTATTGTAGTCCAGCTTCTGCCCATCACATGCAGCTGGCACCGAGCCATGTATCAGCTCTCGTAGGCGCCGAGCATCACGAACTATTGTGGTCCAGCTTCCGCACATCACATGAGGCTTAATGCGCATTGATTCGACACAACTCATTCTTAACTGATGATTTACTACGACTGCTTGACCTAACTTGTTATTATCTGCTGATATAATGCAGCTGTTTCTTTACTACTGGTTTTTCGCACTAGAAATCTAGTACTACTTATTTCCTATCTGAATAATGTTTCTGGTGTAACAAAACATGCAGCGATACCTCATTAGATTTTTTTTTAGATTATTACAATTTGAGCAATAAGTGAATAATAATTCAAGTGAAAAATAGAAGAACATTTATGTCCATACATTTAATTTTTTGACATCCCTTATTCTCAGCTCTATGACATACTTATTGGCCTGAGTTATAATTGCGATCCTCTCGGGAAATTTGCCTCAAACCGAAAGGCGTTGCGGGGAACAGAGTTCTGTTTACCCGTTTAAACAAAACGAATTCATACCTCGAGCTTCGCATCTCGTGGAATTTGGGTAATAAGACTGCCTGTCTTCAACACAATGGCAGTAAACGAAGTCGGGCCTCTTTTGTCATTGTCCGCTTTGTACAACGTTCGGAGTGAGATGAATATTTCCCGGGCTGTGAAAAGAGCTGGTGGAGAACGAAGCAATTTGCTCGAGTTTCGGAGGAATGCTGTGTTCCAATAACTTGACTCCGTTTCATTCGGCTCTTGATGCCTGACTAAGTGTTTGTTTTGTTGTCTGGAAACGACGCGAAAATCACGTTTGGTAAATAGAGCGTTACTGGTGTATTACTATTCATATTATAGTGTGTAATGAGAGACTATGTTCAAATCTATCTCTACGATCATTATTTTACTACTGTTTACTATCAAATATTAATTGTATTCTAAACATGTCTTTCATAGGAAAAGTCATTATTTAATATTAATTAGTTGTTATTGTTGTACTCTCTGGTGCTAGCTTAGTTGACCTGATGACCAGAGTTGGTGCAACGAGGATAAAGGGACAGCGTATTTGAAATCATTTATCTTTACGTGTGATGACTGCACTCTGTACAGGCATGGCTTCGTCCCAAATGTGATTTATTCACTCAGATGCTTTAACTAATAATGAAATGCAACGGCATTCACCTCACGTCTACTGAGATGACAACTTTCCCAACGGATTTATTGAATTTAAGGTGTAATTTTTCTCACAGTCTGTAGGCCCTAATGAGAAGCAGAAAAGTTGACACACACGCACTCTTTGGTGTGATACAGATCTCTGTGTTCATCACTAGCACTGGTAAGTCTGATGTAAAAAGTCTATCTAAATTCTGTATATATTTTTACTTAGGGCTCGTAAGAAAAGATATGACTAGTCAAGAAATTCTATGTTTATCTATAAATGTTAACAGGTGATTGAAAATGTTTATTTTGATCTTGCGGCATCATTATTCTATAATTATTTCTACGTAATGTTGAAGGATCTTCGTGATTTACCTGATCAGGATTTCTTTCCCCTTCAAAGGAAGCGTGAAAAATCCACAGTATTAGCTTTAGAAAAATGAAGATCATTCGTATATATATACGCTTAGAGTATTTAAGTCAAAAAAGGGTATCGTCCAACTCACATTAATAATGATTTCAACGTTTTACAGCGCTACATATCTCATGCTGCACATTCTTACGTAAGAACATATTCGTCTACCACATGTTCAAAGTACATCAATCAACCGGGAAATTATTTTATCCTTTTTTCAATAGTTGATAACAAATTTGCGCAAATTCATTACGCATCACGAAATGATTTTGAATTTGCGAGATTTAGCCTCTGAGAACTACTGTCAATTTTTTGATAGCCCGATCGTCTGTTCATGAAAAATAAGTTGGAGAATAAATTATACTAGTTTCATATGCGAACCCTTCAGTTGAAGCTTATTCATTTATAAAATCATTGCATGCACAAAAAAAAACTACAAATGATTTGTCCTGCTCACTTTGACATCATTTTAGTCGCGAGTTCAGTAAACATTAATTATGTGAGAAGGTTCAAGTCAAAACAACGCAAGTCAAATGGCCCTATATACATAGGCCAAGTAACAATTGTATGATGCTCGTGGGGTTTCATACATCTTTCTTCTGATGAAAGTCCAGCGCGGATTGAAGACTTTGAGAATCCTGGTGCTTAATGTTCACATGCTTCTTATGATATGTAATGTGTCTGACTGTTTGAGGCAGGGCTGTTCGTTTGACTTGTACATACCCTGTTAATCATCAACATTCTAGCTCGATCACTATCAGTAAACGCTGGCATCAAAAATACTGTCGACTTTGATGCATAATAGTTCAATACGTACGGTGGTAACAGATTAGATGACTTAATATTCAATGTAATATAATATAATAAAGTAGAGTTTCCCGTGATGAACGTGAAGTATCATTTCGTTGTAATTATTGAAAGCGTAGAAGTGAATGAATAAAATTTAGATTAATTCACTAGTACTTCATATCATCTATAAATAGCTTGTGAGCAGGCAACAATATATTTCAAGTGACATTTGATGAGTTCATCAGCCCATGTAGCATTAGCATATCTTTATATCAGGTTGGCTGATGGCAGCGCTTTTCTTGTCAACGATAAACTACAAAAACGATGTCGCACGGGGATAAATACTTAATTGAATTTATGAAGGAAAAATTTTAATTTTACTTGAATGCTCTGAAATTTTTCAAAATGAACTGTTATTAAATCTATTATGAAGCTCGCTTGCAAACTTTATCGGAAATGAGTTCTGAGGAGAAATGTCTACGAAGTCCACTATTACTATCATGTTTTATTGCGTCGGAGAAACACATTTTGGAGAGCTTCTATTAGTAGCTTAAATTACGTTCACGAGAAATTGTCAAGCATATAATGCTAGTAAGAACGTTAATTTGTTCATTGATGGAAGCCAGAACCATCAGTGTCAGCAACATGACACGATACCAATCAATAGTTATCATCTCTGAACCGTCTGAAGCTTTGACTGCCAACTTGTATTCATTCATGTCTATTTTACTGCTCAATAGTCTTAATTATACTGCCGTGGTGGCATTCAATTCGATTCATCTAATAATAAAGAAATGAATTAAAAAATGTATATCCATGTCAGATCTGTCATCTTTTGGCCCTAAATATGGTTCCTCGTTTTCATCCAGGAGGCACCCTATTTATTAATCATAGTTTCAAGCATATTTGAATTCTTAATAAAAACAAATTATTTAAAATTTTTCATTATTCGCCAGACGTTGAATGCCGGTACTTCGAATTATATTGTTCCAGTATTTACTTCTAGCTTTCACACTGCATGGCAATCTGTCTACGACAAATTCTTCTTACCACAGTAGCAATTCTCACTTATAACACCTGCAAAGTATTACGTCGATGGAAATATATACTTTTTCAATTTTGATTTCATCATAGTCCAAACTTGGCATCAACTTGATAATTTGTTGCAAGCAAAGTGTGTTAGTCAATTCAGTGTTCCAATAATAAGCCTCATGATCAGTATTAAATTACATATATATGACATTGCAATAGGTCTAAGAAAAAAGCACAATTACAGGTATCATATAAGTTAGATAGGATTGAAATCCATATGAATGTATGGCATTTAAATTATAAATGCACTTTTGTGCATTTATTTATGTACGATTAGGTTTGTTATAACCGTCTTGATGTGAGTGCATCTCTCTAAAAACTCCTGAAATAGGACAATACAAATAGAATAATTTTAATCTGTCTTAGATAACTTCAAGAAATGACGACAATATTCATTTCATCTTTCGAATCATTGTTTTAAATGATCAACCACGGACGTATTAAAATGTTCAGGCCATTTTACCGCATTCTTAAATTTTAAGTTCGAGTAATTTATGTACTTTAATTTTTATATTATTTTATGTTTGAAATACTCATTTCTTAGTAAATTTGGCATTTTTTGTGAAGAAATTCATATTTTGCAATAATGGTTTATAAGTGTCGTCCATGTTTGATTCGAATTTACGCAGCGAACTTTTTTTGGTGATCATCATTAGCGTGACTTTCGTCAACAACTTCGGCGCAAACTGCCAGGTTATTGGGGTGACTCAGGTAAACAACTGCTGCGCTAACTGTCATGCCGTAGAGGGGACTCGCCTTAAACATATCTGAAATAACCTTCATGCTATCAGTATGGCTTACAAAAACAACTGCCATAATCCCCATGCCATTAAGATGACTTATGGATCAACAGTTGCTCTAACCGTCTGATCATTACGGTGACTAATGTAAACAATATTTGCGCTAAACTTCATGCACCAACTGTTGCCTCTAATTGATCATTTACAGCACGCATCTCTGCCAGTGAGCATTCATCAAAACCAAAACAAAAATCAGTTCTAGTAGTAAAATTTTTGAACCCATTCTGGCAATTTTATAGCGCACCTTTACATAATTCAAACAGCATATGCTTCATTGTCCACAGTGATTGTGCCGTTCATTCTGTAATTTTTACTTTGCAAGAAACATTAAACCAAATTCTCACTAAATTTCACAACTCGCGTATTCAATTTACTTTATATCGAGAAACTTGCATCTTGGAAAAAATATTTTCTGTTTGATATGAATGAAGTAGAGTATAAATAAAGTGTGCCATAAAATAGTTGAAATGATGTTCAGCTTCGGTGTCAGGCGTGCTGTAAACGTCATTTTAGGCGTTCAAAATGAAGTGTCGTTTGCTTCGAATTACGTGTACAGCGTCAATGTTTTAGTTTGTGGAGTGAAATGGAAGAGAGAAATGTGGCATGATGGACGTGTCATTTGCTTCCAATGTCACGTGCACTGTAGAGCATCAATGTTTTAATTTGTGAAGCGAAAGTGGACTTGAGTAATGGCTTATGTTGGACGTGTAAAAAATGTGTTGTTTTCGTCCAAGGACATGTAGAGCGTCAATGTTTTAGTTTGTGAAGGGAAAGTTGACTTGAGAAAAGGGCTTATGTAGGACGTACAAAAAATTATCGTTTGCTTCACGTGTCATGTACAGCATCAATGTTTTAGTTTGCAGAATGAAAATAGACTTCAGGAATTCGTAATGTTGAATGTAAAACAAAGTGGCGTCAGCCTCCCATGTCATGTACAATATCGATGTGTTAGTTTGAAAAATGGAAATATACGTTAGTGATAGACCGTCATATTAGTTCTAGTATCAGTTAATGATAAGAGGAAGAATGAAGTGAGTGCCATGAAATGTTTGTCTAAAACCACAAACAAATTTCGACTATCGAATCGATTTCGATTTAAATCCAAATATAACAAACTACCAAATCGTCGTATGATAAAAGTGTTTGTAAATTTCAATTTTGTATAATCGATAATTGAATTTCATGGGCATGCATTAAAGCGATGCTAGTCTGTTGTGTTCTTGTTAACCTTGCGACGAGACAATTAACAGGCCAGGGCCACATAACATGCCTGAGTTCGTCTTGGCAAAGCACGGAAAAGAATTTCGTGAGAAGATAAAAAATTTAAAATACTACGCAAAACATGAGAAGATTAGCAAAGAATATAATAGTTTACGTTATCTTAATTACATGCAAAGTTACTCCTCAACTTAACGCTCAACGAGTGACTTTCCACCAAAATATTTTAGGAATAAATAAAGAGAAGTAGTTTTTAACCATATTACCCTAGTAGTAAATAAAAATAGGCAACTTTCCACCATATTACAGTATTTTAGGAATAAATAATGAGAAGTAACTTTTCGTCGCAATTTTCTATTGATAAATAAAAAATAACTTTTCATCTAACTACCCTATAGATTAAGGCAATGACGTAATTTTTCCCTACAATAGCATATACAGGAGCAAATAAAGCGAAGTAACATACCATTATATCAATATAGGAGTATAACTAAAACCGACGAAGTTTATTATAATTTCTTTACGTTTCTTATGTAGTTAGCGACGGATATAAAGAGAAAACATGTGTGAAGAATGAACGAGTTTATTTGACATATAACAAACACAGTTCATATAACGAACAAACTTCAAAAATGATCTAAAATATCTATGGAGAATGCATAGTATTCGTGTAAAAGTCAGAGAGTAGAAAGTTGGGATCGATGAAGAGCAAAGCTCGTTTCGATTGTTATATACAAACAATTTAATAACTCTCAACAGCAACCGAACGTCGTCATCTTACACAAGTCATTGCCTTCCATAAGTTACGTAGGATTTTGCTTAGAAAATAAATTATTCCTTAAATTGTAAAAAATTAAGCATTCATAGCGCCAACTATCATCGGTTTTTGATTGATTAAGTCCGTTCTGGAGAAGCGTTTGCATCTTTTTAATGAATGCCGTCAGACACTCTATTAGATCAAGCAGAGAACAATGAAGAACTTCAATTAGCAGAAATTTCGGTTGAAGTTATTATGCGTTTCATTTTTTTACTGTACATTGTATTTTGTAGGTGAAAGACTACTATATTAATAAAATATCGAGTCAGACATGACCATACAGTTGTAGGCTCTCCAAGCCGAGGGGTGTGCAGCTGTGCGATATATGAATATTGGCCACGGCGGTCAGTTTATATTCTTCACCATCGAATGAAGGAGAAGTGAAAGTGCTTTGATAACCAACCATTGCAACGATGAGATTGAATTTTAGTGCAGTCACACTCATTGCTACTTCATTAAACTTTGTGTAAATGTGAAGAGTAGACAATATATATAAAAAAGACAATATACTTTCCCAAACTGTATGAATACAATTGTGATTCGGATGCACGTTTTCGTGGGTGATAAATACCGTGTACTGTTAATACGGAGCAGCTTAGAAAATCTATGTAACGATTATAGTTACATTGCCATCAAATTTTGCCAATTACATTTTGATCAGTTTTACCCTTCCAGATGCTGCTAAAAATAGGCAGAATTCAAAATTGTATCGTAAAAATTATTTTTCTCATATAGGTCCATATAATTTTTACAAACACAACCATTGATCACGATTCCGGTCAATCAAAAAACATATTACCACTTACCAAGAAATTGTCTGCAGTTATATTTTGATGTCAGTGCACGTAGATAAATAATCTTGAAGTGAAACCACCTAGCAATTATCTACAAATTATTCGAGGAGATCAAAATCGATCTGACTTCCAAGAAAAAGTCTTAGCAATTACGCCCGACACATACACGACTCCAGCATCGAACTAACTAACAGTTTGTACAATTTTCGATCTTGTTTCAAAATATTTCTATCACACACACATATGTTCAAAGGTTTGATTGACCGATGACGATATATTGTTCATCCGTTCAATTAAAATACAGAGAACAACTTCCGCACTACTTTCTGATAAGCGCTCTGTATAACAACTCGGCTAATATAAACAACAATGTGTATTGTCCATATCTTTGCAAGCACCATCAACGTCCACCAACTTATGCGTGTGCCGATCTCCGAGAACAATTACGGGCATCACGGAGCGAGGTTTGGACATTAGGCTCTTTAAGGCAATATCCTGAGCCATTAAGATGTTTTCGTGAGAGAAAACGTGCAGTAATTTGAGAAGTGCTAATTAAATCATTGAGGGATGGAATAATTTTCCAAATGACTCATTTCCTCAACTTAGCTGGATTCAGCTTTTTCGATCTCATAAACTTGCAGCAGTATTTCATGTTCGAGATAAATAGTGAAATTTTCCGACTTTTTCTTATATCTGAAATGAAAGTGTTTTCTGTCACAAGGTGCTAACTGCAAAAATTTATGTAAAGCAAAATAAATACGTTTTAATATAATAAAGCCCAAAACTTTTCTCTTCACTGGAAGAATTCAGAAAGTTAATTTTTTTAATTCTTCGAATGTTCGTAATTCAGCACAGAGAAATGTGTGAACACAGAGACATGTGTGAAATAACACGCATCAAACCTATTTGGAGGGCCATCTGTCTTTTGTGTCGGCAGTCAGCGCTTAATAGAGTCAAGTCCCGGATGCTGAAGCTCGCCGTAGGCACCGCGGAGATTTATCGTAAAATGGATTGCATGAGCCAAGTGTCTGTTTTCTATGAAGTCTTCAATGGGATCACAGAGAGGCAGTCAAAGGCGTGCCGACGCGAAGAGCGCTCAACGCTTTTGTTGCTGCTCGAGGGCTGACTCGAGAGCGCCAAACGCTAAGCGAACGCCAGGTAAGAAAGCTGACTTTAAACGAGAAATCCGAGGCTAGGAGGACGGGATCGTGTTGAAGGATTAATTTTATTCTGTCTGTTCTATTTCGGATATTTCAATTTTTAGAATGAGCTGTTTGCCGGTACATCGGAAAAGATATCTTCGTGACATACCACGATGTTCTAAAGCGTTTCGTAATGAGCCTATGTCTAAGGATTTGTAGCAGGTCTTAAACAAGTTAAAATAAAACCTCAGCTGTGCAAACTAGCATGCTCCAAAAATGACGAAGAAATTGTGCTGGCATGATTCCGTGACGTGGGATCTGAACCGTAACCTTAGATCTTGTCAAGGGTAATCTAATATCCTTCTTCACTCGATCTTTCAAAAATATTCTATACGATTTTGAATTATATATGTTGAGAAACTAATTATGTAAATTCAATTGATGAACTGATTAGTGAAAAAAACTCAATATATGCGAAATTCATTGCATGATTGCAAATAAAATTCAGAGCACGTAAAAATAAAATTAAAATGATGAAAGCGGCAATGCTCGTAAGGCAACGAATGCAGCGACGAAGATACGAGACACTGAGGTGTGAACAAAGAAAGTTCATGCCTGATGAAGTTTTCTTAATCAAGCTAAGGAGAAAACAACAAATTCCCACTATTTTTATATCTTCGATGCTACCAATACAGCTGAATTAATATTCAGAAGAGAATTATCATCCCCATGACGAAACATTTTTACACAGAAGCGAGATTATTTTGATTTATGTGACATAAATTATGAACCCAAACCTTCTTACCTGCTAAAAGTAGCATTAAATCACCGAGTAAGAAGCGTATCAGTAGCTTGCGGAGCGAAATGCCCAAATTCATGTTCTGGTACAGGACCGAGCCAGAATCTTCTGTAAGTTCCAAGCGTTACAAAATACCAACTATGAACAGCAATCATTTTAATTTATACCGTCATCTAAAGACTATTTAATCGCCGCTTCTCCCATAGGTGTTCCAGAATATTTCACAAAATTATACAATTTTATCGATTATACTCCACATCAAACCGCATTTGTGAGAGGTTCAGAGCTAAAGATTTACTTTACAACATCTGTCTCTTTTTAGTCTGGACACATTAGCCTGAACTGATGAACAACCGATTATGCTGCGTTGAACTATTTAAACCGTGCGAGCCGTGATACAGATAGTATGAATGTATACATGCAGCGCTTTGAAATGGAATACAACATAGCCTTCATCTCAATAAGCAGCGGAGCTGTGACTTGGTTTCCAGTGTGGATATTACAGTTATTTGTGCAGGCTTGATTCATTCAAAGGTTTCTTCAATCGGCCTCGATGATTGATTGAACAATAAATAAAACTGCTTCATCTCTCTCTTGACGATCCTGTCATCGTAAAATATACACTTGAGCGCCTGAAACTCTTCCAAAAAACGAAATTCTTCTTCGAGTCACAATAAAAAAGTGATAAATCACCGTCCTTTCAGACTCCTTGCGTTGTCCAAAGCAAAAAACGATTGCTGCAGGCGGATTCCAGGCTGAGTTTGATCTTGATACATTATATTCTCGCGGTGCGGCGAAGCTCGTTCGTCACAGAGCGCAGCACCAGCGCTTCAGTCCTTTGTCTGAAGTCTTCTGCTTCATTTTTGGGTAAGCAATGCTCTGCAAAAAAAAATTAATTACTAAGTTGTTCAACAAAATGACGCCATCACCGAATAATCCCGATTTTCGTATTCATTTTTTAGCTAAACAGTTGGTGAAAAAAATACTGCCAATAAACATGCAACAAATATCCCCAACATAATTTCAGAGATCATTGAAGAATTGAAGCTTAAACTTGAATGAACAATATAAATACCCGTAAGTGCTTAATGTGCATCATACACCGAGAAAAAAAGCTCTTGTGAATTTTCTTGCTGAACGATGTATAATATAATATGATATAATATATATAATATGCAGATATAATATGATTTCTGTTGATCCCATATATGTTTTTACTATGTGCAGCACAATTCTCTTCATCATGGCACAATTCTCTTCAACAGCATATAATAATAATATTCCCTCTTTTGCCAAATTTTCCCATTTTTCCCACGAGCTAAATTTTGTTAATCACTGTAAAATACTAGTACTGACAATCAAAACATACTTGAAAGCCTAATCACGCAAATCAGAATCTCGTTGATCGAAAGAAGATCAGAGTTCACTTGCACGAGCGAGAGAATTTTTGTCTATGAATTCATTGACCATTTGCTGTCGCTAATAAATAATTATAAGCTGGAACATGCCTTTAAAAATAGAGCTATTCATTAATCGTTTAACCTTCAAGCAATGCTTGGAGGCGACAGAAAATCACGGTAATAGTTAGAATATTAAACAAAACATTATTTGTTTTAACTATGCACCCTGAATTACTTTTGTCTAGGTCGCTTCGGATCGGGGGCCGACTGACCTGTCTCTTGTGAAGCGCTGAGTTGGCCTGGTCGGGCTTGGGCTGCAGGGTGATCTTGCTCATCACTGGACGATACGGCACGAGGATCAGATCATCAATAAAGCTCAGCTTACAAGTCTTCAGCTTTAAACATACTCAAAAGTATCCTACAATCCTTCTCTTTACGACCGTAAGATGAAGATGACAAAAAGTGCATTTAGTCTACCGAGATCAAATTCAACACTTTTACATTTGCAAAAACAATAATGTCAAGCATTGCTATGCCCGAAAACGCCTAAGTATGCATAACAACATAAGATAAAGTAACAGAAAAGCTCTCGCTCGTATGCCTCTAAACTAATATCAACTACGAGTCATTAGACCTCCGCAAGGCCAGCGACATGAACGAGGTACCTTTTGAGTCGACGAGCTCGACGGGCTCTTCAATGGTCTCGTGGTCTATCCAAGTGAGTCCCATCTCGACCTGCTCTGCCAGCTTCTGCCACTGCTCTCTGTTGCGATCACAGCCGTCGTACAGCGGCTTCACCCACGGGAAAGATTCAGACAGCGCCTGGCTCAGAAATAATCAACAAAATATATATAGCATCACTTCTAGGAAATCGAGTCGAACTTCTAGGAAATCTGCAAAAAAATGCTCAGAGGTGTAAGCAATTATAATATTTTTTGGGTCAGGCCTTGATAAAGAGAAAATAATTTAATTAATTTGTGAAGAAATCCCAAATTGAATTGTAGAGTTGATTATGGATTTTGTACTCGCATGGGAAAACAATGATGTACTCGCATGGGAAATGCTCTTTTCAATACAACCGCTCCAAAAATTATTAAAAAAGAGTTGAGGATTGAAACCATTCAGCAAATAGTAATTATTGCTCGAAATATTTTTTTGATTTTGTATTCATTTATCTTCAATCATGAAAAATATAGGACAAATCTATTTATTCCGCCAAAGTGGAAAAGAGCAACTATAAACCATGAGACAATAATGTTCATGCATGTATTGCAAACAAAGTTCATGCAGCCATAAGCAGCGTATGTTTTGATAACTTAAGTCATGTCAATTTCAAATGCCGTTACTTTATACAGCGGCAGACAGATGGCGTTTATGAAGCCAACTTGCATTTGAGGAAGCTCGTCTTTCTTCTCGCGGTCCATCATCGCCTGTAAGGAAATAGAAACAGCAGTCACCTTATTATAGAAATTAGTTCCAGCTAGTGTAATTTAATTAAAATGTGAATACAATCTCGTGCGGGGTAATAAATGTTTGTGCAAGCTGCTCATCTCGAGCACTGAATCAATAACTAAGTTGAACGCGCGTCGGAGGCTCAGGATCAAAGAATGAACAAAAATTGTCCTGCGGGCTTCAATTCATTTTTATACAGTTTTTCAGTCCAAATTTCAAGCTTCTCTACTACTTGAGAACGGTTCTCGGTTGGATAACTAATCCACAAGAAGATCGCATTAGAAGAAGTCGATGATATTAAGACAGACCACGGGCTGCTCGTTGAGTTTGAGCTTCTCGAGGTCGCCTTGCTCGAAGAACTCGTCGGCCACGAGCTTGGCCACCTCGTGCTGCACCTCCCACGGCTTGGCGATCGCTGACACGTCGCACGCGGTCATCATCATACCGCACAACACTGCACAGTCGACAGAAATATGTTCAATGAAGTAAAATAATATTTTGACTCTCATATTCTGAAAATAATTAAATTTTGAAAATATTCTACCAATATAATATTATCAGTGTTTCAACATATATCTGTTTCAAACATATAGATAATATTTCGAAAGGTTTTAGTTCAAATGTCACAGCATAATTTGCAGAACAACAGAATAGTATAGTATTAATGTAAAGCATTTATAAATGAGCATAGTATAAATGTAAAAAATTTAGTAAGTGCCCGAAGAAAGCTCATTGAAAATTTTCGTTTACAAGCAAGAACTTCGGATCAACTTCGGTGGAAAGTTATAACAATTCAGAAACTGAATTGTAGTATAGCAAAACTATTCCATGATGCTGAAAACTTAGGTGGTAGGAACTCTATAAATTATATACTTTTCTACGGTGGTACAATAATACGCATAAGCATCATCACATTAGCAGTATCATTTTTTGTTGAGAAAAACTATCAGACTCACGTTCTTTCTTTTCCTCAGTCTGCCAATCGAACTCTCCGTTGTCCGTGAGTTGCAGGAACTGATTCTTCTTCTTGAAGTACATGGCCATGTCAGTGCTGAGGATGGCTTGCTCCACCACCCTCATCACTCGGCGGTACTCCTCCGGCGACAGCATCTGCCAGCCAGCATCAGAGACTAGATTCTGATATTTTTTAGACTGGAAGCTCTATTAAATTTGACGATGTCCTCATCGGCCACTGGAATCGAAATTAACGGACCGCTACTTGCTTGATATATTCTAATTGGGTTGTCAAAGAATATATTAAAATGATTACTCGAGTCTATATTTCACGGTTGATAACCCTATACAACACGCTTCTAGTATTTTTGCCAGAATATCTTGACAATTCATATTAACAGCTATCATTTAACCATATATTTGTTTAATATATTCATGAGGCCAAAATATCGATGCAGGGCTGCTATTACTCAAGTCAATTATATCCCCCTTAAATTCCACTAGGAAAAGTAAAATCTCGAAACGCATAAAATATTATCTATATCGCGGAGAAGGTTCATCAAAAAATGCTAATTCCTTGATGAGTTTCTGAGGTCAATTTTAAGCATTGAGATCATCGCATCTTAACCAGCTAGTTCTTTTATGTTTTTAAGACAATATTACATGACCGAAATCCTATCCTAAGTTACGACCGAAACATGGATCATGTTATGGCACTATTGCATGAAGCTTCTAGCACTTGTAGAGACGACGTAAGCGCCGTTATAATCAGGGGCTTGTACGTACGAACATTACGGATAGCCAAATATTCGGTTATCGAACGGAACTCAAGTTACGAATATATTATTTACCTTATTTATACCTTAGATGTATTAACTTATTATTAACCCAATATTATCCAACATTCTATTGATACACGTTTGATTAGGCAACAATATATTGTCAAGTAAAACTCAAGAATTAGGGATTTTAGATGATAAATGATGATGAATTAGATTCATTTATTGATTCTTGAAATCTGAGTACTATTCATTGATTTAGTTTTCAATCAGTTTTCAATCATCCAATCCTAGGCCACATTGGATATAAATTACAAATTTTTATTTTGTACACATTGTTCGGTACCTGAAAAATGTTGTTCGAGTCCTGCGAGAGAATCATGACGCACTGGTCGAAGTGATGATGCTCCATGGTGCTGGTGGAGTACAGCAGGGCCAGGGGGCTGTCGGTCTTGGTCTGGAAGGAGTTGTTCGTCCCTCTGTGGTCTAGATCATGACTCAGGCAGGCCACTAGAAGCCCCAGCATCTGTATAGTCGATTTAAAATCAACGTCGGACATTTTATTGCACAGAAATTTGAAATCGGAATGAATCATCCAAATTATGATTATTCCACAATGATGATCTGACTGCTAATGATGACATGGATTCTGGCCTGTACGTTTAGTGTAACTCCAGACAGAATCGTTTTGCATTCATTATTATGTGTCTGTTATCATGCACTGATTATTGATAAAAAAAGAGTAAATAGATCAGGTACTTTTGAACGAGACGATAAACTAATACCATGTCACATTATTCACCAGCCTCCGGACAATGAATTTATTTATGGCAAGATAAATGCTTTAAATCCAGCTTCTGAAGGTAAAACTGATCATAATTTTAAAAATACATGATGGTTTTCATACTTCATTTTAATATTTAATACCATCCTTTGATGATTTCTTAGGTAATTCACGGGTACAAATTTTCGCACATTGTAGGGGACGACAAGTAGTGCGTTGTCCTTTTTAATGTTACTTGACGAGTCAATAATATCCTAAATGTTGAAAATAGTTAAGGATCATATTAACAATTAAAGATTTTCATGTGAGATCCATCAGTAATAAACTGAGAAAACAATTTGTAATTCTGTAAGACGAGTCGGGACATCCACAATATCCCGACATTAGCCAGCATCCGTAATAATAACTTGCTCGTTTATTACAGATATTAGTCAGGTAATTATTTTCATGTTTCCAGGGCTTCATTATAGATCCTTCTAATCACTCGCACAAGAACTCCAGTATTGAATTTGAGATTTTTACCTCAAATTTGAACAAAAATGAATAAAACGCAATAAAAAAGTGAAGAGGATTAACGAAAGAAGATAATTTATCTCAACGGCGCTGCAGATCGGAATATATACCTCGAGGTCGTTCATGAACTGCTCCATCTTGCCGGTCTTGAGCATGGCGAACATCGTCTGTGCGACCGTGAGAGCGTGACGCCAGTTGTGGTACTTCACTGGCCGGTAGTTCTTCTTGACACTCAACACATACCGGCACATCACCTGCATGTTCATAGCGAAACTTAAGGAGTACCTTCACAAATGTTCATTTTGGAAATTATTGACAAGAAAAACATTGCAATAAAACATTTAGAAATGGTCTCAAATAAGGTCAAAATTGCCTCGCCGTTTGGTTTCCGGCGCTGACTTTCGCTGACTTATAAAACCAGAAAAAATTATTTCATGTCGTTCAATTCAAAATACGATCCATTTGAATTACTGCATTAAAACCGATCAACTCCTCACGCTGAAATCCAGTAACTGCAACAACAAAAGCCATAAACAAATAGGCCACAAGTCACTATATTGGTTACAACTTGAGCTGAAACAATCGGCCAATCTAAAATTAAGCTTATGTAGCGTGAACAAAAAATGAAGAACTCCATGTTGATGTACAGGAAAAAAAAACTTCCCCCAAAAAAAAACGCTCACCTGTTGCGGTATCCTAAATTTTTCCAGGAAATTGAACTCTTTGAACATTCGGATGACGCACATGCAGGTTTCGTCATCCGTCAAATGGATGTCGCTGAAGTCGAAACTGTAAAACATGTTTTACGGAATTACTTCGCATGCACGGTTTTCAGATATTTAGGGAAATTGCCTATGGCAAAGAAATATACAGAATATTACTTAAGTTTAATTTTTTATAATGTTCAGATGTAATGAGAATAATTTCATCACACATCACGATAATATCTTTGTACAAATTCCTCGAGTAGCAATTTTCAGTAGTAAGGAAAAAAAATGAACATAAATTAAATTTGTACGCATAGTGGAGACGTCCAAGCACCTAATAACGTACGAACGACTTTTGAATTTTACATTTTAAAGTTAAAGTTAAATGTAAACTGACCTGTAAAGCTCAAATTTACTGGCTTCAGGAATTTCTGCATTTTGCAGTTTTTCAGTGTCGTCCTGAGCGGCAGTTGCGTGATAACTAAGGCACTCCAGCGCAACCTTCTGCCGCGCCATCAGTCGACCTCAACAGTAAACAAAATGTAAATTGTACGTGTGTTGCATTGTACGTGTGTTGCATTGTACGTGTGTTGCATTGTACGTGTGTTGCATTGTACGTGTGTTGCATTGTACGTGTGTTGCATTGTACGTGTGTTGCATTGTACGTGTGTTTCATTGTATGTGTGCTGCATAGTGCGCATGTTGCATTGTACCTACATGCATTGTAACTATCATGCAAGGTCTGTCGGTAACATAGAAAGTAAGAATAACATGTAACATATCCTTCATGTTCTATGCGTCGTTCACAGGGCAGGAAAATGAATGCTTTGGAACTAATTACAAAGAACAAGGAGTGGGAGAAAATTAAAAAAAAACATACTCTTCAAAAAAACTGCGATGCGAAAAAATACAAAAATAACTGCCACAGTGTAATTTACAGCAAATTACAAGGTAAATGTTCATTGGAATAACGAACAATAATATGTGCTATGCTAGAAGATGAAAGCAGACTCACTTCATTCTTTCGGTCGTAATAAAATTATTCATGGATTCTAAGCTTCTCAATTTCACTGATGGAATTAATAAGAAATATACAATCTCAATTGATGGTTGGTATTAAAGCATCAAAAACGTATTCTTCGGCTTAAATAGTAGTTTGGCGCCAAAATTATACCCACGGATCATTCTAGTTTCTCTTATGATCAGGAGATTTAGAGAAGATTCTCCGGTATTAAAAAAAAATAATATATTGGACCGGACGTGCATGCAACAAGATCATAAGTTATTCTTTTTAGCGAAGTGCATAATTCTGGATTTGCTTTGAGCTTAATAGCTCTTATCGTGTTCAGATTTGTTGCGCGCTGGACGGTAGCATCAAAAATTCGCATTAAAAAGAATCAAAACTCTAAAAAAACATAAAAAAAACATTTTAAACAGATGCTGAGTAACTCATCCAATTTTCTGTGTTATTTCAACAGGCTGGAGGTGGAAAATATAATTTCGAGATTTGCTCTCAGAGCTGTCAAAAAATCGATTGCTTTCGTCGCTGTATATTTTTCGCGGAACTTGATCTACTTAAACTTCAGGGACCACCGAACGAAAAAAATAACTATGATACACATATATACATGCCCTCATACAGGCCATGCACTCATATTGGTTACGCTTATGTAAGTGGTTGCATAACTTCTGTAGTGCATCATGGCAGGAGCTTCGATCAGGACGGCTGAGCATCAGAGCATGATAATCCATGAAGCCATCCATCTCTTTTCGCGGTGAGTATGCACGCCGCAACGTGCGATGTCAAAACGACCGCAGGAGAGTTCGGTATTTCAGCTTCAGCTTCTATTTCATACGACGAAACCTTAGCAATACTTTGTATTTTTCGACTAAACTGATTTTGAATAGCACCGTTAGATGAATATCACCGTTAGATGAATAGCACCGTTAGATGAATAGCACCGTTAGATGAATAGCAGCGTCAGATAAGTAGCACCATCAGTTGAATGACACCGTTAAATGAATAGTACCGTTAGATGAATAGCACCATCAGACGAATGGCACCGTTAAATGAATAGCACTGTTAGATGAATAGCACCATCAGATGAATAGCACCATCAGATGAATAGCACCATCAGATGATATAAAATAATGTATGCTACAAAATACTATAAAATAATGTATGTTGCAAATAGCGTAAAATAACAAGTTCTTCATAAAAAGTCCTTTTTGAAAGTTCCCTATGAGTTCCAAATGCAAAGCAACTCACAAGCCTTCTCGTAGACGAGCATGTTTTGCATGCCCAGGCCGCTGAATATCGCAAGGGCTTCCAGCGTCCGTACGTCATTCTCGCCGAACCTTCTTCCGTTCTCCTGAAAAAATACACTGGACATGAGATTAACATAAAGCAAGAAGTGAATATAATATAACAATTTCCGTATGAAGAAATCTAATGAAAATATGTGTTTTTGCATATCTCGCGTGCTTCGTGAAACGCACATCTAATTGAAAAAAAAAAACGAGAAAAAGAATTAATCTGCTGAAATTAATGATCTGCCTCCCCGAAAACAAAATATTTGGATAGATACGAATGTTTACGATGATAATTGACTATCTATTATTAATAATAAAATATGTTTACCTTGTTGATCATCTGCGCTACGCCGAGCACCACCTTGGAGGCGTTGTATATAGGCAGGGAGAGCACGCTGTTGATGCGCCCTCCGTAGTCCATGAGCGGCGCCCCCAGCCAGTCCTGAGCGTCACCGATGTTTAGGGCCTGGATAAAAATAAAATAATTTGAGCGCGAGGTGAAACTGTATTAAAAACAAGGGTGGATTTTCCTGGCGTCTCGCGGGATAGATAAACATTGCAATTCTAAAATCTCGTTTATGTCATCCTGAATATCGTCATCCGAATAGTTTCATCTCGAATCCAGTTGATAATTCTGAAACGATATGACCATAATTAAAGAAAGACCCATCCAAATTAACAGTTATCACGGAACTTCCATTCGAGTCCTATTTTTTAAATTTAAAATAAACTTAAACTTAAATATCACATCGTATTCACGTATTTGGCCTTATTCTCCCTTCATTTATGAGTGTCACGGAATTCAACCATTCAACATAAGATTTCTCACGTAATATCCCGACACAATAAGTATCGTGGTCATGACCTCGAACATCGTCAATTTATCACCGGTAAAATACTTCAAACACACAAACACGTTTGGAAAATATATAAGATGTATACACATATGAGAAATTAATACAAAATGTTACTTGAATATTGAGCTTATTTTCCGTAGAGTAACTTTGGAAGAAGCTGCTTGCAACTCATCTCATCCGGAGCTAAAAATTAAAAACTTAAATTGACCATAAATAATTGAAAAGAAAATTCCCCGTTGTTCGCATTGCCCTAAATTCACACGAATAACTTGAATTTACAGTACAATCACGAAAACCTTCATTGCTGACAGCACACAGAACAAGCTGCTTTACTGAGGCACACAACAGTCCACTTAAGCCGACGCTGCCTTTCAACGAGCTGAACATTGAATAGTTATCGTTCTCAGATTCTTGTGGCACACTGCTCACTCAACTCGTATGATTTTTTTTTAAAGTCTGAATAATTTAGGTTTATTTCTCAAAAAAATTTTTGTATGCTGAGGCCCATTTGACTTTATCATAACTGATTATTCATGGCTGGAGCAACATTTTAGACTCACTCTTCGCTGGTCAGCGACGTAGGCGGCCAGCATGGCGAGACTGGACTCGCTGAGCTGCGGTCCTTGATGCTCGCTGATGGCATAATTTCCGTCACGAATTGACAATTCGAAAGCCGCTTGGATGCGAGTCCTCAGTTTTACCTTCGAATGCAATAATGGGAATGAAACGCCGCACTTTCGTCCTCTGAACAAAGCAATAATCAAACGGAATGGCGCTCATTTGCAACGCCGTCAAATGCCATTAGCATTTTGGCCTTCAAATTTCAGATACAATTCTTGGTAACGGTTAATTTTTTCCGAACAAATTGAACAATACTCCTCCATGTAGCTACAACTCAGTGAATCATGTTAATAAACTGCAATGATCCTCCTTAATTTAAAATGCTGAAGTAACGCTGGTATTCTTCAACTCACAGTTTCAGAAAACACGGCTTCCGGCAGAGGCAAGCAGGATGACTCCGGACTTGAATCTTTTATTGCCTTGCAGTTCACGGAAGTCGAGGAACACAACTCTAGGCCTTTCTTGGTTGGGCTGGTTGTCTGAGTCTCTCCCAAATCCTGTGACAATATTCAAAACAACTTTTTAGTTTAGAGACTGGGACATGAACTTTTAGGCCCAAGTTTAGAAGAGTACATGTACCTGATAGAACAGCTAATTATTAACTTTAAATGAGCTAGAAACCATCTTAGGAGAGTTTCAGAGTTAGAAGAACGGTCGTGGCAACGACGAAAAAATGCATGAAATGAGAACAATTTTCGCAGTTAATCATAATAAAAAGAAATTTGCTGTCATAAATGAGAATGGTTTCAATTGAGATTAATTGTAAAATACGCAACATCAGAACTGCATCTGGGTTTTGAAATGTAATCAATATTAGCGCGCAGCAGCGGTCCTCAGGATCTCTTTTGAGGAACTTTTAAATTCCCTGGGAATTGACTTTCCGAACCAATGCGGAATTCAGAGACGATCGTTCGAGAATGCAGGACTAATTTAAAAGGTTACTCCTTTGAATCGTAAAAAATGACGGTTAAACCTGATACATGTCTAGTTGCATAAGAGTGAATAGTCAATAAAATGATACGGAGTCAAGTTTTTTAATTGACAGGCATTGCTCGTAATTTTGTCACGAGCAGACACCAACAAATTTAGGTTGCTTTTAACGATGTGTGAAGAGCTTGCTTTGAAGAAAAACTTTAAATGGGGAGCCATAATGTGACGAGCTCGGAGTGCGGGATGAAATGGCAATCATGATTGGATAATTTGTATACACTGAGGCGAATACACGCGTAGCCTTGGTCGTAATAGTAAGCAATGTTTGGTGCGGATTGGGATTTTTTCTCATGTGACGATGAATTTGTCACATGACAGACTTAATGAGAATAGAATACTCGAAAAACATGAGTTGTACTAGCTCATGCTCATCAAGACCTAAGCTCATATCTCCTAAAATATTTGATATCACTCATGAAGACTCAAAATATTTCGTTAAAATCAAGTCTAGTGAAAAATGAAAAATTATTTTTGATTTTAAAGCGACGATCAATTGAAATTTGAGTAACTCCAGAAAATATGAATAAAGTTCTAAGTTATATCTGCTTAATGTTAAATAAATCCATTCAATTTAAGTTAGAATGAATTCAATTGACATATACTGAAAACATGAACTAATTTCAACATATCCGCTGAGAAGTGAGCACTTTACACCACATAGAGAAGCAAAAAATTTCAACGCATGCTTGATGTCCACGCCACTTCTAGTAGTAACTATTGCATAGCACAGTTTCCGTTAAATGAAAGACAACGTTGCAACTCTATAGATAAAATTCATTACTCAAGATAATAAGAAAATCAAGTTTGCTGTGAAGTCTAAATCATTTTGTAAAAACAACCTGGCTACAATACACTCGAGAAATATGAAGCCCTTGAGGTCAGAGTGGAAATAAGCGTCTCTGCAGGAGACAGAAGCTATAAGGCGTCAACAGCCGGCGTGTGTGGACCACCCCTTCAATCGCCTCGTCTTGTCTTGGCTTTGGTCCAACTTGCGAGTCTTTTTCCGTTAATTAATTTTTTGTCATTAAATAATTACGACCCGTAGATGACCCACAAACGCAATGTAATAAACAGCTTTCGGTTTGACGACTAATATTATAGAGGTGCTCCTTTTTGGGGATGCTTTAGCCCGTGGGTCACTAACACCGCAGGCATCTCAGACATAGAAAGTTTGAGGGCATTAATAGGATATTTATGATCTTGCACCTTCGAGATTATGAATAGATGTAAGTGAAAATTTTTTAAGAAATATTTCATGTTTTACTTTACAAATTTCGTCATATTTACTGCAAATTCTATCCCGTTAAATCCAACGATCATGCGATAAATGCGATTCATCTATTAACTGAGGCCTCTTCTAGTAATTAGGATGATTATATTTTTGGATTCGGAGAAGCGTAAAACAATTTTTCCAATTAAAAAAGCCGTCGGCATGGATGGTATTAATTTAAAATAATAAATGTTGGTTTTGGATGTCAATGCCTTGAAAAAATAATAATATCGATGTTAAAATGATTTATTTCCTGTCACTAAAGATTAACGATGGGATTGAAATTAATGTTGTATCTTCATAATCAACCCAATCTAATTTTTATAATCTTCTTATAATGATGTGATGTTTATGCGTTGAAAATGTTATGTATACATACTCAAGTATTCGAACGTGTCCAATTTCAAGTTTTTATCTCTAAACAATTTTGCTTGCTGCTCTGATCTTTCACATCGATTTTCAGGATAGTCTCAGGATGATCCTGATGATGACCAAGCTTTCAAATGGTTCTAATGCAGAGAAAATTAGGTACAAGTTAATTATACTGAATTTATTTTCATGTTCAACTATATTTCCCTTGTGTTCCTCTTAAGTCCTATTTCTCAAGTGAAGCGGTTCAAATTTGTACCACCAATTAATATTGGTAGCCGCGTAAACATTCACTTTAATCCATTTCAGTTAAGCTAAGACATTTCTTTGTATTTCTGTGCCATCTTCAGATCACGGACATATTCATTTTACTAGACACTTGATCGTGCAATAATGTTGGGCAAATGAGGTGCTGGGATGATGCACTGGACACTCACAAGTTTGTCGGCGCCGGAGACGACGCCTTATTACTATAGTTTCCCTGCCGTTATCAGGTCATCGGTGTATTACTTCTCGTTGGACAGAATGTTGTGTATAATGCTGCGAATCACATAAAAAACTGGGCCAGGTACTCGAAAGTCTGTCGAAGAAGTAGACAACGCCTAAGCACTTTAGTTTCCCCTGCCGTCATCAGATCATCAAAACATTTTTCTCCTATCGGAGATCGTGTTGTTTATAAACAAGCAGCGAACCACATAAAGAACAAGACGATGTACTCACAAGTCTGTCGATGAGGTAGACGACGCACTTCTCGCACCTTATGAGGTCACGAGCCTCTGTCATGATCTTGGTCACGAGGCCGTCCAGGGAAGACTGCTCTTCGAACAACCGACGAGCGAGTTGCAGCATCAGCTGGTCAAACACAAATGCAAGTTCTTCATATAAATTTCACGCATTGAAAGTGAATTTTTAACTAAATTAATGAACATTATTTCAATCAATTTAAACAGCAATTTTAAATATTTTCGAATTGGCAAACAGATATTCAACTTCCCTTTAATTTACCCTTTACTTAAAGTTTCGCTTCAGTTCAAGAACCATTAATGTACAACTGGTAAGTAAAAGGAGAGCGCTGACATTTTTTATTACAACACTTCTCTTTAACTTCGCTTTTTGTTTGTTTGCCAGTCAGCTACAAATTTTATAATCGATATTTGACACACTTCTACCTGTCCAATCGATCTGAAATTTTGCACACTTGCGTAAAGTTGGAGACTGTGCATGAATCGATTGACAGAATAAATAATTTTAAAAATTACATTTTTTTCAATAATAAACAAAATTTTTAATTATTTTTTCTGCTACATATCTTATTATCGATATTTGACACACTTCTACCTATTCAATCGATCTGAAATTTTGCACACTTGCATAAAGTCAGAGACAGGAATCAGTTGACAGAATAAATAATTTTGAAAATTTAGGCATGTGAAACATTCATTGTAAAAATTTTAAATAATTTTTTCTGCTACATATCTTATTATCGATATTTGACACACTTCTACCTATTCAATCGATGTGAAATTTTGCACACTTGCGTAAAGTGTGCAATAAATAATTTTCAAAATTGAAATAAATAATTTCAAAAATAAGAAAAATTTATATTAAAAAAAGTTTAACATAATTTTGTCTGCTACAAATCCTATAATCCACATTTAACATACTTCTACCTGTCAAATCGATCTGAAATTTTGCACACTTGCATAAAGTCAGAGACAGGAATCAGTTGACAGAATAAATAATTTTGAAAATTTAGGCATGTTTAACATTCATTGTACATGTGTAACAACAAAGACACTGGATTCTTTAAAAGTGTTAAAAAAATTAATTTAAAAAGTAATTTTTATACGCATATTTTATTCTTTATGCGAGTAGTCAAATGTAGAGATCAATTCTGCCTATTTATAACTCGGATCTTTCAAATTATGAGATCACAAACTAAAAATGGGATGTAACTTTAAATTTCATTGCAACCAAAGAAGCCACACATGTGTAACTTTAATCTACCTATATATTGATTCTTTACTGAATCCATGTCCTGTATTATCGCTCTCAGTGACGCTCTCCATGCCAATTACTGCAATTATTCCCAATCTTATTATATATACATATAGTTGACAGCGAGTTTATTTTGTACTTTCACCAATATATTTCGTGCGTGAGCATTTATCTCCTATAGTTTCATTCATTGTAATTTTGTAAATATGAGACTCATGTACTGAAATTCGAAAACATTTCATAGCAATGAAACATTGTAGTTTATGTCATAATCTGTGGTATTAATCACAAAATTATTATTGGCTGTAGATAATCTGATTTATTGGACTAATAATTTTGAAAATTCTAATGGGCTTTCATGAAATTTTCTATACAGCATCGCCTATTTATAGCACATTTTCTCATTTATGGAAAAATGCACTATTGTGTTCGCCATGTCCGTCCGTCTGTTCGTCCGTCTGTCCGTTTGTCTGTCCGTTTGTCTGTCCGTCTGTCCATCCGTGACTTCACGTTTTCGTCTATGAGAATATGCGCTCTCTGTCACTCACTGCAGTGAGTACTGAGTTACATTTTTTAAACAGTTGTAATACTTTAATCATTGCGCTATACTTTAAATATTAGAATTTGGAAGTCCCCAGGAGTTATGATTGCGATCAAACGAGACGTAAACAATATTTTCCATCGCGACTGGCATCATCCTGAACATTACAAGCCATTTTTGCTGCAATATTTGCAGAGACAAAAAGACTTTACACGCGCAGTGTTGTGTGCACTACAAGGGCCCGTGCCGGCACACAAGCCATGCATTCTTAACGAGGCGGAGGCTTAGGACCTTTATGCGTGCATCCCCCAACGCGTTATTCATGGCCGTTGCTTCAAGAGCAGCAGGACATCGGATAGCTCGCCACTGCACTCGCTGCGGCTAATCAATTCCTCTTGAGAGTTTCACCTTACCCTCGCGATGACATTTCATCTCTCCACTATAAACATTACAACTAGAAAGGGCGGCATTTCCGTCTATCATTTTTAGTGCATTTTCTCATTTATGGACAGAATGCACTATTGTGCTCGCCATGTCCGTCCGTCCGTCTGTCTGTCCGTCCGTGTGTCCGTGACCTCAAGTTTTCGTCGACGAGTAAATGCGCTCTCTGTCACTCACTGCTGTGAGTACTGAGTTATATTTTTTAAATGGTATGGAAGTTTATACAAAATAGTAAATGAATTGCCGAATGAAAAGAAATCATTTCTTCGTAAACTAATGTTAGATGACATTGAATATTTACATGCATCACCGGCATAGATTTATCTCCAATAACTCCGCGGTAAGTGCTCCAATGATTCACATATACAAGACGCAATAGAAAATTAAAAAAATATATATATATATATATAGCGAGAGATTTTATATTTCGTAGTTAATACCTGATTCCGTTTGTACTCGTGCATTGACACATTGAAGAGATGAGCGTTTTGTAAGCCAACGCCACAGAAGGCCAAGTGTCTCTTGACCACCTACGGAGGAGAAAAAACAAGGTACACTGCTCACATTTTGCTTTACATAAATAAAAAATAAAATGTCTTCATTGTTGCAACGCATTTATTTTACTCACTCCAGCTCTTCAGGCTTTGCTCATGACAATGTAGCACAAAACGAAAAAGTTCATGAAGCACCGAATGAATTTGTTCAATGTGCCTCTCAGCAACCTACTTACAATACGAGTGAGTTCCAAGTAATGAAAACCACTGCCGGACCAATTACAAGGCCTCTGCCACATACCTCGACGTCGTGCTGCGTGAATTCCTTGGATCCGTTCTTCTTGTTGATGATCTCAGCGACGCCGACGACCGAGCCCTCCTGGTCGCAGAGCGGGATGCAGAGCACGCTGCTCGTCCTGTAGCCCGTACGCCTGTCCACCGACGAGTCAAACCGAGGGTCCTGACAGGCAAACATCATTGCAAAACTAAGGTATAAATAGAGAAAATATTTCTACAGATATGTACGAAAGATAGCAAAAAAATATGTTTATAGAATGCAGTGAAATAGGCGCAAAGTAGGGCGCAGATCATAGATCGCCATTTATATGGTGAATAACAGAACTTCAGTTCCGGGATGAAAATGCCCTTTCCAACAAATAAAAATGTACAAATAAGGTCCGCTCAAGCGAGTGCTACGAAAGGAAATGACGTGAGCAGTGAAATGAAACCATTTTTTATTTTGATTTTTAATGTCTTTAGAAACGTGAGAAACAATGCGACGAACATTGAAGAGCATGAAAGAAGTTTTTTTACATTTTTCAATCACGAAAAATAGTAGCTGACCTTCATCGAAACTCATGATTAATGGACAGATTATTACTGATGAACTGGTTCAACACTGAACGGGTTAATCACTTTTTAACTTTATCAATGTTGTTAAAATTTTCCAAAATATAATTAGAAAGAATGTTGCTCACCTGGTAAGCATCTTTGATGTTGAGTATCTCCTTGGTGGTTGCCACGTGACCCACGATGCCCACCCCCCACGGCAACAGAATTCTTCTCTGCGCTGCGTTGACCACCGCTTGCTCGACGCCTGGGGCAGGCAGCGGGAGTTTAATAGAGACTCAATTTTAGAAAATCGTATAATTATGTAATTGATATTATCGCCCCAGTCGATCATTGGGTTTCGGCCATATTTTCTTTGGTGAATTGTTAACTATTTAATTCTCAAGAGTTTCTAGGGCGTTAAACAAACGCACTATTGTTGTTTAACTTATTTAGGCAGTCTGACTTACCGCTCTACGTTAGAGAGCTTAAGGTAAAGAAGGTAAGAGGTATGATTCTTTGGTCGAGGCCAGGATATCAAGACGCTACGCCAATACGCAACGTTAATTACAAGAAATCAAACAAGACGCTACGCTAATTACAAGTAATTTATGTATAATTTGAAAAGATTAGAGTTGGAAAATACCTGTTAACCTATGTCACAACAACACTAGTCAATATATTAGAACTGAATACTACACTTTTAAGATCAATGGGCTAGCTCAATTTTTAATTATTGACATGTACTGCATAGGAAAAGCCGTTGGGTAAGTGGCCATTGGCCAATAACAACCCCAGACTGCAAAATTTGTATTGCTTTATTGATTTGGAGTGATTCAAGCTTCTGGTCACAAGAGAACGCATCTGCTCTGCCTTAATTTTTTTACCTCAATTCCACTCTGATGCACTCATGAAACATCTAATGTGAGACACTCCAATAAATTTTTACTAAATATAGCTTTAAAGAATTCGGCAGAATATGGTTGTATTGATTCTCTAATGGGCCGGCATTAACCTGAAAATGCTTGTTCTCTGCATGAAAAAGCAGACCATCCTTTTAAAAAAAATTTCTTATGACACTTCGAATAACATTGATACATACATTTGCCTGTTTCGCAGAGGTCATTTCTATCAACAATCATCGATACTTATACGGCAAACTGAAGAGTAGAACTTACTTATATTACAGCATATTTTAGGAAACACAATATATTAACAAAATTAATAATATAATTGATAACAGACGAATGCTTGCAACTACAAAATGCTATATCTACAAGCAAATATTATAACTCAGGCCAAACAGCGCAACGTCCCTGCATTCGGTGCGGAATTTTGAAATTTCCACTTACGGTGTTTCCGTTTCAGGAATTTTAGAATCCCTGAATATTTTAGAACAGAAGCATCTTTTTTTTGCTTGTAGTTCTTAATGTAGTTTTTTGCCCATTTAGTTCTCATAAACATGAAGTTAAAAACAGGTAAGTTGGTCAGCTAGCAATTATTTTTTCTCTCCATTAATAATTTTTTGTTGTCTTTTGTTTATTTCTGTTGGATAAATTTCGTCTTATGTTCATGTTGCATTCAGATGTTGTATTCAAGTTTAGTGCGTTTAAGTATTTTTTTCAAAAGGAGTAGAGGATTTAATCATCAGCTTTCAATTCACGTTCACTATTCAGTAATTTAACGATCATTCACCAACTCCAATCAGCGTAGCAACTTGAAGCCATCGAGTTCTAATGTTCTCTCTGTTTGCTGTTTCACCGTCATTTTCTTTGTACGAATGCAGGTATTTATTCCTTTTTCTCGATTTCACTCTTTAATTATATCCTCTACTGTAATCTAGCCAATACTCACTCAATTCATTAAACTTATAACGTAACTTCAATATTAGAAAGTGGTCTCTTTAATGACGTTGTGAAGCCCGGTTTCATAACGGTAATAAACGTCTCGTCACTTTTCTCTACTTCCATCGTTAACTCTTCAACCAACGTTAACTCTTCAACGTTAACTCTTAACTCTTCAAATTTCTTCTGGGCAAAGACTTTAAGGATTTATTTTTCGGAACATTCATTCTATCATAAGTCAAGAACTCGACCAAACATCGATACTCCACTGAACAATAGCTATTATTGAGACCTTCCTGCAGTTGGTCTAGCCTGCTGCTGTTAACATAATTTCAATGCCACAACTTGAATACTTCTATATACATGAAATTTAATTTGAGCTAAGACATTGTCTGTCCGATTGTGTGCAGAAATTCTCACATTCAATTATCATATAATTCACTTGTCAATATAAATTTTGAGATTTCGGTTGTGTTAATTTGTTGCATTGAATTTGGCGAATTTCGAACTGACGATGGAGCATTATACTCCGCAACGTCTTAAAAAAATACGAGTATGAAGTAAATTTTTGGGGCATTTTCTTTGCCTATAGTTTATAGTTAATTTGCGATGCAAGCAATTGAGTGACATTGATATTCAAAAATTTTGAAGATTTTTAATGAGTGGCTTGGACCTACTAATGTTCCGTTGTGAAATGTTTTCATATAGTTTTTAGGAACCACCTTGCTATTTACATCCACTTTGAGATTCTTCCTAACGATTTCAAAAACTGCTTTCGTTTACTCATTTTTACAAGCGGTCTTGATTTCTTGGTGCGGGTTACAGCCCACGAAAGAAGCAGAAACACAAATGAAAGAGCCAGAGCACCACGACGCGTAAATATTGGTCTTGCTGCGGTCAACGTGCGCGCAGCGATCTCTTACTGTGGGCAATTCGAGGCTTAGAGATTTATTGGACAACAATTGGGAACAGGATCTATAGGAGGAATAAAAGCTCCTTTCAAGGTTGATTACTAACAAGCTCTGGAATATCCTCCAATAGCAATAAAATGCACCTGGTCAAGGTCGCTGCGAGCTTTGCTCAGTCGCAAGAAGGATGTCGCGACGCCGACATGTATTGCAGAAGAGAGCGTATCTATTTAATGGAATTTGTCTCGTTTGAGAGCAGAAGATGCTCTAGTGGGCGACACGTCATAGATAAATATGAGCTTGTAGCAATGTCTTTTTTCTGTCCGTACTATTGAACTAGAACTTGCCGTCAGTATGTTTTCGTAAGTGCAAGGAGATGGCAAGCTAAGCTCAACATATAAAATTCCGATTCTCGTGGTCAAAATATTAAAAAAGAATATTTCTTCACTAACACGCGATCTGCACCTGGATTAGTCGTTCTTGTCAGCCTATTGAGCAAGTATTTCAAATACAATAATGTATTTGAAGTGTAAATAATATTGCAGCATTTGAGAGAGCGGTGAAAGATAGATTCCTTATTTTACGAGAGACATGCAATAGTAGCGCAGTCCTCATATATGCTTTTTTATGGAGTATCTTGACTCAGAGACAATATATTTCTGGGCAGAAGTAGGTGGCACTAGGCAGGGGCCAGATTATGATTCTGGGCAGACATGCAATTGTGCGTGCCATCAGACCACGAGGGCTGCAAATTGAGTGTCTTCAGTTAGCGTGGCACCGCAGCCCAGTTAATTTTCGCCTGCTGCAGGACCTTACAACAATCGCAGAAAATACCGACATTAGGCTGGGCAGAGAATGGCGTGGTCTTTATATTTAGTCAGAATTATTTTTCGGGCTAACCATAGATTATAATATGCAGGATTTTGTTGTTATTGCACGTTTAGCGTTTTCCGACCTCATGAATGAATAAAAAAATTAAAATAAATAGGTTTTTGCTTATCTCTTACCGAATGAATTCATTTACATCTTTTTTTTTTGTCTACAAGAGGCATTGTGTTATGTGCATGTATGTGGATGTGATTAATACTATTATTAACACTAACACATATGTATTTGAAATTACCTCGTAACATTAAATCACCTTCTCAAAACGGAAGGAGTGAAACATCAATACGCCGGATGGCTGACCATGGATGCGTCGGCAATAGGTAAGAGATTCGTAACCCACAGGGCATGATATTGAACACGGATGCTCATATGCATAATGATGACTTTAAATTAATTTTCCCCACTATGTTATGTATCCCATTATATTATAACAGTCCTAGTAGTACTATTTCATTTAAGTGTGTTATTATTATTATCTCGCAAGAGTTATAAATGAATCATTACATACGAATTCGAATCAACTTGAAATGTAGGCAGTTCAATAGTTTTCATCCCTTCCTACTCAACACATTGCTATAATTAACTCAAATTATAACTGTCGAATTTTTAGAACCGAAACTTAGACTGTCTGGAGTCTCACGCACGCGAGACGACCATAAAAAGATTTGAATGACACATTCTATCACAGTGAGGATGAAAGGATCGCATCAACTGAAGTGTGGCAGTTACGTCCAGACTTACGTTCATACCAAAGTTAGCGGACACTTATGAGGCATGGAAACTTTGGCGTATAAATATCATGTTCGGCATGTGCAGACATTTTTCTTCAGTTAAAGTAATATTCGCGGCCTTGCCAATTAATTTTTAACGTTTATATAGCTGTACTGATTAGTGAAAAATATTTGAAATAATGTGGATTTACTCACTAAATGAATACTGCGGTCATTCATAGATCTTTATTTATAAAGTGTAGAATTGTTAACAATGCCTTTTTTGTATGAAGATCTTGCATTTAAAAACTAAATACAATGAAAAAGAGTGGATTGACAAAAACTTGAATTGAATAGTTCGGGCTGGTCGCACATTGGTCAAAATGAGTATTTTACCGATTACTCACTGTACTTGCTGACGGGAAAACTGTACGGTGCTGTTTTAGAAAAGGGTCGAATAAATATAAATTATTTAGGTTAGGTTGGGTCATGTTCAAATCTTTAGTGGGTAACGTGACCACTAACCACATTGTCTTTCGTAAAAAGTGTCACATATACCCGAAATGGCACCAGGACAGATTCGCAGCAAATAATACGTCCTTATCACAAGCCCTCTTTGTAAGAGATTCACACTGATAAATTCGTACCTCTCAGAACGGTGCTCTAGTCTCCTGAATGATGAAAAAATCAACCGAACTAAAGTAAGAATTGCATTTATTGCTATGGTTAAAGTGGATTTACTTACTACTTGACTTTCCAATGGTTGTACCATGTCAACTTACGAGTCGTGAGCACTGACCGGAATCTACGGTGACGTCGAACAGCTTGGCGACGAGGTACTTGTTGTTGTTGCCGCCCTGCGCCAGGAACAGCGAGGCTCGGTCGGCTCGAGTCAAGTGGCCGACGTTGACCAGGATCTTGTGGCAGAAAGCATCCACATCCAAGTCCATGGTAGGAAAAGCTTATGCGGGAGACATTACATGGTTTCTTGTGCTCCGGGGCAGGTAGGGACCAAACCTGCCTTGAGCAATAGCATCTTATCATACAACTTAGACTGATCTGGACGGTGTACAGGAGATATCTTTCTCCTGCTTTTTCGGAACTTTTGGGTGTATTTTCTCATTGCTACAGTATTTTGTAACGCTGAGTTAGTGAGAAATCCACTAAGAATTAGCTAGAGTTAACATTGCCAATGAGCCTATGTCTGGAACAGAATGCATTAAATTATCGTCGGTGATGTAAATATATTTAATATGGATGCCATACATATTATATATGTTTTCTGAACTCATATTACTTCCTAAGTACCATTCAATGACACAGAACCGCATACCTAAAACTTATGAAATAGAACAAATCTCAAACGCTCATTAAGATCAGATATCTCTGTATGACCGTTTATGATTAGTTTCAGCGCTTCTATTTAATAGCCATTTTTGTATTGCTTCTATTTAATTGTCAAATTTGTATTGCTGTAACATAAAAATGAAACATTTTGACACTCTCCCGAATTAAAATTAATTTTCCAACGTGAAGACAATAATGACAAAATATGAGCAGCTCCAATCAACGACGTTAGGTATATTTAGCTAAACTTTAACTTTCATTGACCAAAGGGTCAATATTGAATCGATGTTTTCATCATGGCCGTGCGTGTTCACGTCAAGAGCGTAATTTGTGTCAACGGCCTCACATGTTGTCTTGTTGACACGCGCTATTTTATGGTGGCCACACAAAGGGGCCGCGATGGCGTCATACGGCGAGTCATGTGACACTGAGAGGCTTTCCGTCCCTCAATTGCAGTATGCTGAACATTAGTTTTAATTCATGTTTAAAGATATTTAAGTGTGTTACTTTTAAAAACATGATTTAAACTCATATACCTTCCATTCTTTCGATGATTTACGGAGTCCTATGCTGAATATGATGCATTGGTCAAGTCCAGGATATCTCGGAGGTAATATATTCAACGACTTTCTCCAAAGGCAAACAAAACTTTTCTCGGTGGCTTTATATATACATGATACATCGATAACACCGCAGAAGTACAAAATAACTTAAAATTTAGAAATTTAAAATTTGTACAATTAGTGTGTTACTTTATCAGAGACATCATGACAAATAATACCATACATTCCAAAAGAATTAGCTTGCATCTTCTAGACGCAACTGAAAACAAGCTAAGAAATAACGCCATTAAAATACTTGCGCGTAATGAATTCCTGCCAGCTACTGCCATTGTAGTCATAATTGTCTAGAGTATTGTGGGTTCATAAAATTCAATCCTTTTTAAGCCCAGTTAAAATTTTCCGAGTAGAAACTTTAGAATTGAGGTAATTTTCAACGGAAATCATAATAATAGCAGTCAAAAAAACCTAGAACCGAAAATTACACTAAGTATTGTCTTGAATATTATTTCGATGTTGTACATGAAAATCTATTGGGCTAGTTGATCATAATCTTTCACGGCGCAATTTCGACTTGCGGACGGAAAATTTCTAAGGCACGCGAATTCATTGACTTGCTACAATAGACGAAGCTAAAAATAAGTTATGGTAATGGAAATCTTAACAGAACATTAAAATTAACGAAAATAAGCTTTTGCGTTCACAGGACTTTTTGCTTTAGGTCTGATCAGTCCAATCTCTAGGTCTGAGATCAGGGTACTGCTCGGGAGCATAAAAGGACGCTAACATAATAAGAAGAAGTCCTCACAAGCCTGCTCGGAAGTTAGCGGTGAAACTACGTGCTTAAAAACCTTCCTCTGAGATGTAGATCTTTAGGAGTTTGAACGCATCTGTCAGCTTCAACTAGGAACTGCCCACTTAAACTTCAAAGACGTCAATTAACTAACTTATGATCATACTAGGCATATATGAAAAATGCATTTGCAAGTTTTGGAACCGATTGCATAAATGCCAGAATTCGACTGAGAGACGTTTATTAAAACTTGATCTCTTGTTGAATAGAAGCTCTCACGGAAAAGTTCTGCTTAATCGAGTTCGAATCTGATCGAATTATTATCCATTGATGTTATTTTTGCTGTGATTATGGCTGAACGATTGAACAAAAATAAAATATCAATATATGGATATTGTTTCGCTCAGGCATTAATTGGGCAATTATACCGCTGATAAGCCTTTAAATCATATAATAGGTTCAAATCCTTGAGTTCACCAAAACTAGTCACAATATTTGTTTAAACCTTCTCAAACCACAAATAAGGCAAATTTTAGCTGAAACGTTTTAGTAAGATGATAAAAGTGCTAGGCAAGCGAGAAATCATGTAATATGTCAAGCAATGTTATTTTGATCTTAATTCACATTTATATTATCATTTCTCTCTATCTCAGCCCTTCACGTCATGCGCACAACTGCAGATCGCGCCGTTCTTCACCAACTGTTACTTCATGTTGCCAGCATTTACAGGAAGCGGTCATTTTACCCTGTTGAGGTAGGTATAACCTCAGCCTTAAGAAAGGTAAGCCATGCAAGCCTTCAGGAGCAAGGTAAGCCTTCAGGAGCAAGGTAAGCCTTCAGGAGCAAGGTAAGCCTTCAAGAGCAAGGCAAGCCTTCAAGAGCAAGGTAAGCCTACAAGAGCAAGGTAAGCCTTCAGGAGCAAGGTAAGCTATCAGGAGCAAGGTAAGCCTACAAGAGCAAGGTAAGCCTTCAGGAGCAAGGTAAGCCTTCAAGAGCAAGGTAAGCCTTCAAGAGCAAGGTAAACCTACATGAGCAAGGTAAGCCTTCAAGAGCAAGGTAAGCCTTCAAGAGCAAGGTAAGCCTACAAGAGCAAGGTAAGCCTTCAGGAGCAAGGTAAGCTTTCAGGAGCAAGGTAAGCTTTCAGGAGCAAGGTAAGCCTTCAGGAGCAAAGTAAGCCTTCAGGAGCAAGGTAAGCCTTCAGGAGCAAGGTACGGCTTCAGGAGCAAGGTACGCCTTCAGGAGCAAGGTAAGCCTTCAGGAGCAAGGTAAGCAAGCCTTCAGGAGCAAGGTACGCCTTCAGGAGCAAGGTAAGCCTTCAGGAGCAAGGTAAGCCTTCAGGAGCAAGGTAAGCCTTGCAAGCCGTCAGGTTTAGGTCAATCGCCCGTTTCGGCCCACACTGTATGTACCCAACGCCCGGAACTTGAAACTCTGATCTAGCATCGTCGCACACAGTGGTTTTACAAATCATTTTCCTTCGAAATTGGGAAATTATTTTACCGTTATAACTAATAAGAAACTAATAATAAAAAATTACACTTGTACCAGCAGCGCAAAATTACTGTCTTGGAAAAGTTTCGTTCCCTGAACGTGATCAGTTTAGTAAACAAAGTTTCAGGGCTCTGGTTTCATTAAAGGTTAAACCACGCAACATTTAGACACAAGAAACTGTTGCACCGTTGTCGTTGTTTCTAGTCCCTGTTCACTCTTTTTCACAACAATTTGTCAACAGAAACGAGCAATCCAAGTCACCACATACACGCACTGCCTATAGTTATGGGCGAGAATGTCATTAGTGGATAGAACTTCTCAATGGAAACTGCTTGCAAACTCTACTGTTGGAAGATGAGACTGCTGTGAACATTTGCACTTATGTTCAGCTAGCGATTCTTTTTAGTCAAATGAATTAAAAGAGGCTGTGGGGAGACAGTACGGCAGAGCTGCAGAGCGGTGGAGCACTGAGAGCACTTTGAAGGGGCAGCACCGAGACGACCGGCCACCGAGAGCGAGGAGAGAGAGAGAGCGCGGGAGGGAGGGAGGGCGGGAGGGAGATCGAGTAAGGTCAAGTTTTCAGAGGGAAGAGAGCTGGAGGCGCACCGTCCCTACATTACGGGACCGCTAGCACCTCAGCTTTCAGCCAAACTACGTCGACCCACCGAATACTTCCCATGAGGAAAACGACTTTGCAGTTTTAAAAACGTGCTAGATCTTATTTGCGCAGAAGGTGAAAGAAGGATGGTCATTGCGAAGATTAAAGCTGTTGGAGCCACTGTTTGCTAGAGCGCAACATGTGAACAGCGAAGCTAAGGTCTTCAGAATCAAGCAAATGGATGTAAATGTTTGCCTCATAACGGCGACAATTTTTGTGGCGTTTTTGAGGCTATGGGACGAGAAGCTGTAGCGGAAGGTAGCTTTCAGGGCTGCGCTGACGCGCTTTTTGAAAGAGTTCTCGGTCACTCAGCAATTGAGAGTTGAAGCCTCTAGTAATTTCCTTTACGTGCGTGCTAAAACAGCGCACAAAGTGGCCCTTATAGCCAGCGCAACGAGGAGTGCCGTTGATACAAAATGTGATTAAAATTTATTTCGGAATGGAATGTTTCATCTAAATTTAAGTGAAAAGAAAATAATACTAAATATTGTGATAGTAGGTATTCACGAACACATATGGCGCAAAATTGAAAGATGTCAATCCTCGAACAGCAGGTACAGCAATTACTTGAAGTTTTAACTGATGATTATGTAATGATTTTCATATCTCTAGATTATATATTAAAAATTCCCGTATAACAATTTACTGTGCGATAATGGGCATTTGATTAATGAATCAAGTAGTCTCACAGCCCTCTTGTATTAACGTGACTTGCTAACCTGATATTTTACTCTCTGTTATGAATTTCAAATTGCGGCAGAAAATATCCTCGTTTGTTAATGCGATGCAAGGCAAGGGTTCGATAGAAATTCAATCCAATCGATCGTTTAAATTATTTATACAATCATACTTTTTGGTTCATCGCATATAAGAATTAAAAGTTTNCCATCCTGCCAAGCTCTCTCAGGCGAGCTTCACACAACTCCACGCTCGCTTTTTTCAGATTCACTTCCGTGCGCAAGCACGTTAGAGGATTCAGCAGGATATGAAGTAGATTGCTTGAAGCCACAACGCCGTACGTCCACAACCACCATTTAAACATGCGCAAATTGAGGATTATCACAGAGCATCTGGCATAATCTACTCGTCTAACCTACACGCGTTGCAACATTTCTCCACCCATATATACCTGAGCGGCCGAAATATACCCATTTGTTGCAGAACGTTACAAAGGCCGGGCAAGTGAGCAGGCAGAGTGTCTGGTTGCAAGAAGTTGAAGAGTTGAGGCAGCGTTAGGAGATTAGGCCAGAAGAGGTTAGGCCGAAGTATAAGAGGCCTACTGCCTACTTATCAGCAAGCGAGCTAAAGTTTTACCTGAAGAACTTAAGGGGACCTTATCGGTCCAAA